GAGATTATACATGTGCTTTTGTGAAAGGATTCTGTGTTGAAATTTCATTGATCCATTAGGGACCTACGTCTTCAAGGGCTGAGAGCTCTGGCCCATTTGGGGTTTAGCTGACAAATTCTTCGTTGCCAGCTGTTTTCCGTGTGAATCTGGTCTCCATCACAGGTCAGCTCACTCATAATAGACTGGCTGGGTGAGGAGAGATGGGAGGAGATCCCTGCAGATCTGCTATTGGCAGCTTTGAGGTCCAAGAACCATGCCAGAAAGTTGCATGGCCATCAGCACAGTTACCTGAGAGCTGAAAATGGCCCCTAGCCCTGAGGTTTCAGGGATACCCAAGTCTCCCATCACCTTAGGATTCTGTCAGATTTCTTTGCCATGTAAAAAGTTCATGATGTCACATCCATTTTCCTTACTGGAGTGAGTCGAAAAGAGAGAAGGATTAGGGAGAGAGAAATGGAGGCAATTTAAAGGAATGGTTAGTTATTGACTGTTAAGAAAAATGATCCAAAACTTAGAAATAAGGCCTACAAAATGACTGCCTGTCTTTTCAGGGCCACATTAGGGCACTGTCTGGTAAGCTTGCTAAGAGTCGCCAGACGTAACTACTGCTTGGAGTTCAGATTCTGTAAACTTTGCTGTTGACAAGTAGATCACTAATAAGATGGAAATTATTTTTGTTTAATAGAGAAAGCGTCCCCAAAATTATGGTCGGATTGTCCTCACGTTATTAAGCATTTCTGCACCTAACAACAGTCATGTGCCATGATTCTCCATCATTCTGCTTCCTCGTGCGTGTGTTTCTCATAGTCTCCTTCTAACCCACTTTGTTATCCTCCTGACTCCCTCAGTAATAAATTAAGTTGAACTGTGGCATAATTCTCATACAAAGGTATAGTAAGCACATGCCAAAGTTTTAATTTTGAAAATTATCTTTTGATGGGGGCATTGGAACTAGACAAAGCTCGGTTCAAATTGTGGCTTTTCTTCTCACTAACCTGGAGATGTTCAGTGAATGGTAAAAATAGCTCAGCCTCAGTCTCCCCATCTGAGAAATCTATTCACAGGGTTATGTTGGGTGTTAAATGAGCTGATGTTTGTAACATGCTCGACACACAGTAAAAGGGAGGGAAGGGAAAAGAAACGCCTCATTTCTCTTTTCCTTGCAGATGCCCCTAGACCCCTTTTCCTGAGCATGTGTGCTGAGTGGGGTAACAGCCCAGTCTCTGCTTAGCCTGAGTCTGTATTCTTGTCCCTTCTTCCTCACTCGCAG